GCGCGCGTTCCGGAAAAAGCATCCACGCTTCGAGACCGTTCCGAGAGATGATCGCTCGTCCAAAAATCAGCAGAAACGAGTGGAAAACGGCCGAGATATGAGCCTTTGAAGTTGGGAATTTCGCTCTCTTGTCCTGCCCTGCACATGACGTAGTTGTCGATGAAGGCGAGGTTGAGGAGGCTGAACGTGTCGTCGTCGTGGCTCGCGAGGCGCCAGTAGCCGGGCATGGCGTCGCCCGGCGCCCAGGAGAAGACGGAGAGGGCGCGTAGCCCGGCGACGTACGCCGCGCCCTTGGCCGCGACCGCGGCCGCAGCCCAGAGGTTGTTCAGGATCTTGAAGGACACGGAGGCGCCGACGGGCTTGTCGTCGCCGGGCTTCCACTGGACCGACGAGACGCCGCCGGCGACGAGCGTGACGGTGATAGCGAAGCGGAGCAAGGCGATGCTCTTGCCCACGATGGGCACAGCCGGCAGGGCGATCGGCCACTCGCCCGACTCGTTGCCGAAGTCGCGCACGCGCGCCGCGATCGGCGCCGGGTCGAACTTCGGATGTAGCAGGGGGTTCCGCGCGGGCGCGGCGGGCGCCGCGGCGGGCGCCGGCGCCGGCGCTGGAGCCGTCGACTCAGGCGCCTCCATTCGGGCGAGGGTTTGCCTCGCCGCTTCATCATAGACGATGTTGAATGTTTACGCTCACGCGCAGCGCTCGTGCGGCGCGCGGTAGTCGAGGTGGAAGAAGCGGAAGACGTCGGCCTCCGTGCGGATGTTGATGTTGCACTCCTCGTAGGTCGTCTCGAGCTCCTTGCGCTTGCCGCGGGCGATGGTGATGCCGTTCTGGGACCAGGTCCAGTGCTCGCCGTCCTGGAGCTCGCGGCCCTCGATGAGCGAGCCGACGCGACTCCCGTCGCACGACACGTTCCAGCCGCGGCGGCCGACGATGGGCCGCCGGTCCGGCACCTCGGCCCAGTTGTTCTCGTGCGCGTGGTTGACGTAGTCGCGGAGCGACCGGCCAAAGGACGCCGACCCGGAGAAGCCGAGGAGCCCGTGCGCGATGATCTCCGTGGGGCAGAGGAAGAAGTCGACCTGGCGGAACGCGCCCGGCACGGCCGGCGACCGGAGGAAACAGTGCCGGATTTCCATCTTCTGCTTGCCCATCTTCGAGACCAAGTCGTCGACGTTCTGGTGCGGGTGGAGGAAGGGCGCGCCGCCGACGTCGACGGCCGCGAGGCGCGCGAAGAAGCGCGCGAGGAGCCGGATGCCCGCGCCGTCGGGGTCGTGGAACTCGTAGTCCGCGACGGCGACGAGCGGCGCGCCCTCGGGCGCGTGGAGCATGACGTCCAGGTCGTGGCCGCCGACCTTGCCGCGCCGGTAGGAGCCGACGGCCGTCGACGCGAGGCCGACCTCCGCCGCCGCCGCCGCGAAGCGGCCGAGGATCGCCTCCGTCTCCTCGCGGTCCATGCGCGTCGCCGACGGGCCGACGGGCGCGAGCGCGAGGTTCGCGCGGACGTGTGGCGGGATCGCGAGCGCCGGGTCGTCGCGCCGCGCGCAGAGCTCCGCGGCGCTCGTCACGCCGCGGTTCGCGACGAGGTCCACGGCGCGCTTCTTGCCCACGTGCATCTTCAGCGCGTTGATCTCGAAGACGACGCGGCGCACGGGGTCGCGCTGCCACTTGTAGAAGCAGTCCTCGCGGACGACGGCGGCGGGCCCGCCGAGCACGAGCTGCTCGATGTACTCCATCCAGCCGCCCGTCGCCGACGTCGACGTCGCCGAGATGTAGTGCTGCGCCTCGAGCTGTAGCCGTAGCCGTCGTCGACGTAGCCGTTGTCGCAGATCTCGCCGGGGTTCTTCCAGATGTTGTTCAGGAGGTCCGGGTGCTCCATGACGATGCCCGTGTCGATGACCTGGACGACGACGACGTTCGGGTTGCCCATGGTCGTGTCCCAGGCGCCCGGGACGTTGATGGCGTCGTAGTGCGGCTG